TGTCCGCCGTGGCTCTCCCTGGGGGGGCTGCGGGCGTGGATTACCTCCTCAGGCGGTCCGCGGGCCCGGACCCCATCTGCGGGCCGTGGGCCCCACCTGCTGGACGGGCTGGATTGCCTCCCTCCGGGGGCCGGCCGCCTGTCCGGTGCCCGGGTTTGCACCGAAGTGGTATTTTGCCTGTAGATGACTCTGCAGCTCATGCTGGACAGTGCCTGCGGTGGGGTGCACTTGTGATGGCCGAAGCATCTGTTCCCTCTTAGGAAGCAAATTTATCTCCAGGAGCTGCTGAGCAATGCAAGTCCGACAGGTTTCTTTATAGGTTCTGAGGGAATCTTTGAAATTTGGTGTCATCCTATGTATTTTCATTGCTAAATTAGCAATCAAAATGGGGCTAATTCAACCATTCCTTTATTTTTACTTTGCAGCTCTTAAAAAGTATTTTTGTTCTTCATCTGGTTGCTTTTTTCATCTTTCTGGGTGCTGACATCAGAACTATTGTTTCTCAGTCTCATCCCATCTCGGCATCTTTGACTGTGGTGTTTTTAAAGTACAACATACACCAAAACAGCGCATGATTATGTTCAAATGCATGAATGCCTCTTTGCTGTGTCCTTAAATGCTTTTCTTTTCTTGATTCGTGGCCGTAGTCAGAAGCAGAGTCTGCCGTGGGTGAAGGGAGAGGAGCAGGGTGGGCCACACCGGAGTGTGACAAGATGCCATGATGCTGCTGTAGAAAGCACCCAAGAGAAACCCTGATTCTTAGCAGCCACTGGAGCACGTTTCTGGGGCAATAAATAGAGTTTTTAAGCAGGGTTCTTAGGTTCTTAAACCGCTTGGTTTCTTTTTAAAGAGGAGCTATTATGCATAGGGTGTTTTCTCCTAAGTCTAACTACATGCTTTTAAAACACTTATCTTCCTTAAATTTATCTTAACCTGTAAAAAAGGTTTCATTCTTGGATAGCTACTTTGCATCATTTAACTGTTTGGAATCATGACTGAATCCTGCACTGGATCTAAATGTGCATGTTTTTAACCGTGACATTTGTTTTCATCAGTTTCTAGTGCTGTATGCATTTCGGCATACTGCAGTATGTTTCTCTGTTTAAAACAACCTCTGTGCAATAAATGTATAAGCATTTTGTGTGTGTCAGAATATAATTTTTTACAAGAAGTGATGATATGTCCTTTTTGTTTAGCAGCCACAATGTCAAATAAGGAGGTGAAGGCAGCATTAAAGAGTGCTAGAGACGCAATAAGAAATAAAGAGTATAAGGAGGCCTTAAAACATTGCAAGGTAATTAATTTTATACTTGGAAGGTAAGTTTGGGGCTTTTTGCACGATTTTTTTTTCCCCATACCTCCACAAATTTATAATGGTGCAGAGTGTGGAGTACCTTATTGATGTGATAGTTGAGATGGATTTTCAGATTTAATTTAATTATTTGTGTTAGTTTCCCACATGTAAGCTTTTATTCCCCTTCCTTTAGAATTTTCTTATATGTGGCGAAAGAATCTTAAGTCTAGCATGATAGAAATGAAAATCCATTTCTAATCCAGACCTCATAGGAGTGCTTTAATTGCTGAGATGCAGATACAAGTTACTAGCTCAACACTTCAAGTATGAAGCATCCTCTGCTATAAGAAGCTGAAGTTATTAATCTCAGCATCTTCCTTAAAATTACTTAAGTATTAATATTGCCATATAAAATAATCCATCAAACTGTAGTGATAAAACTCAGTACATGGATCTGTAAGTTACATTTCTTTCACCAGTTTTATTTAAAATTGTGTATTTTTAGGCAGTCTTGAAGCAAGAAAAAAATAACTACAATGCTTGGGTATTCATTGGCCTGGCAGCTGCTGAGCTAGAGCAGCCTGATCAGGCCAAAGGAGCATACAAAAAGGCAATTGAACTTGAACCAAACCAGTTACTGGCATGGCAGGTATGTGAATGTCCACTTTTTATTTCCCTCAAAAGTATCACTATGGAGTTATGTGTAGGAATAAAGCAGACTGAAGACTTGCATCTTGTTTTCTTGAGGCCCTTAAGTTCCACAGAAGCTTTGAAGTAGATGAGGTTCCTATTAGAGCGTGTCCAATGTAAAACCATAGTGAACTTTATTTTCAATATGTTTGAGTTCGTATTTTTTGTGTAGACTACACAGCTGTGAGACGTGCTGGGAAAAGACAAATTGAAACAAAGGCAGTAAATTTGTCCATGTAAAAACTTCTATTCTTGTTGCTCAGGAAACACTTAACAGTTATTCTCTTGCAGTGAGAAAATGTTTTATCTTGTAATGTATTTTTCCAGCTTTTGGCATCAAGTGGATTGTTAATGAATGTTGTTGAAAGCAAAAGTGTACCTTTAAAATAGCTGTGTAGTGTGTGCATTACAGCCTATTGTAATATAGATTTACAGCCTACAATTTTGTTATTCATTGATTCATGAAGTATTTCATGTTGAGTCTGTTGCTGGTATCAATAATCAATTCTTTTCTAAGATAATAAGATTCTTAGTATGTTCAGTGTAAGTGCTGTTTTAAAATTGAACTGTTGGGGCCTGAATGCAGTGTGTGTTTCCTCACTTTTGCAATTAGATTCTGGCTTTCTTGATACAATTCTTGGGTGTATATATATATATATATATTATTATATATTTTATACATATAAAAATATAAATATATAATCATATGGCCTAGTGAACTTTTCTACTGTCATTTGTGCAGACAAGATCCTGCAATATATACAAGTTTCAAAGTATTGTTGGTATTGCTTAAAAAAGTAAACGAAGCTTTTCACTTAATATAAGTAGATTGAGTGGGCTGTACAGAATTCTGCACAGTGATTACTGCCTTAACACTGACTCAATTGAAGGCAGTGGAATATTTTTTGTATGCAGAACAGGTAGCATTCACATAAAACATAAGCATTGTCATCAAATCTTACTTCCTTTACTTTTTTTGGTTTTTTTCTTAAGGGATTAGCAAATTTGTATGAGAAACCCAGCCAAATAGATGTCAAAGGAGACTTAGCAGATGTTTACCAAAAACTTTTGGAACTCTATGAAAGGTAAAGGGTATCGAAAGCCATAAATTCATTCATTCTTAAGATTTCTAGTTCAGTGAATGCCATTGGTGATATGCAGTATAGACTTTGGGTTTTTAAAGCCTTCTCACATCAGTGGTTCAGCCCTTTTGCTGAGGTTTTCTCTGCTTAGGTAAGGTTTCCTTTTCCTGTCCTTTTTGTTAGAGCAAAAACTCTCTTAGTTAACTTGTACTTGAGACTGGTAGTTTGGGGCATTCCATGTTATCTTATTCCTCTCTAAACTCACTGGCTTGAAGCATTTCTGTCTGATAGTTCATTTCCTGCATAGTAAGAAGCCTCATTTTCCACTGCTATAAGATCACAGAATATGTGTCATGCAATTCATAGAGGTACAGTTCTAAACAAATCTAACTCAGCTGTCACTGGAGTGTTTTGTTGTTCTCTTATTTTGAAAACTGATCAAAAAGTCCATGAAAGTATTTTTTTTTCTTTTTATTCGGAGCAGCAATGATTAAAACTTCTAGGGCGATTTGTAGTATTTATTCTAAATATTAGCTGGACAGCTGAACTTAATTGAAAATTATTTGTCAGAATTTGAAAAACATTACACTAGTATATGAAAACTTAGCTTGTTTTGAGGGGATTTTCTTCCTCCTTTCTAGTGGCGACAAGCAGAAATGGTGTGACGTATGTAACAAGCTTGTGGAACTATACCATCAAGAAAAGAAATATTTAGAGGTAGGTCAAAGCACTTTCTTTCTTCTAACAATAATCTTCTGTTTGATCTAACTACTCATGAAGGAATCCCCATTCATACAGGCCACAGACCACTTAAGATCTTGTGGACCACTACCAAGAAGAACTGATTTTAACTGTATTCTTTCTTTTCCACTGAGTGAGACTTGTATGCAATCCATTAAACTGGAAAAGACTATTAGTAGTGAGACTGAAAGGGCAGAATATCATTCTTCTGTTGTATTTCTAGAAGTCAAAAACGGGATCAAATGCACTTTTACACACAATATGTGTGAGTCAGGTGTCCTTTGCCTGGCTTGGCCAGTGCAGGGTGTCTGATGAGCTGTTCACTGGTGGGGTGATCCAAGGCTGTTACTCAAGCTTCTTTTTAGATAGTAAAGTGAGAAATGTACACAATCTGAACACGATTGCATGTGTCTTATGTACTGCATTCCCAGCATGATGATAAGGACACAAAAAGCCTTTTCAGAGCAACACAAGCTTTGCAGAAATCATTGTGACACCGGTCAGTACCACAAGGTGGAGTTGTTAAATGCCTGTGTGGTTCAGCAGTAATGTTTCCTGTGATCTCTATAATATTGTTACAAAATGTGTATTTTGGAGGTACGCTGTTCACTTTTTGTTTGCTCTTTGAAAAGGCTCTTTTCTTATATGGTGGTGCATGACTGTACTCCATGTCATCTTCCCACCTTTCCTCCAGCAATGGAACATGAAAAATTTTACATAGCACAGAGTGTGGGGCCGAACCCTATTAATTAGCTCCAAAGCTTGATTGTATACCAGCTTCTTAAACTAAATTTAATGCCAATAGTTTAGCATACAAAGGCATACTTAGTCTATGTGGAATAAGAAACTTAAGTTACTCCTCAGGGTCCTATTTTTTCTTTTCAGTTCTGCTGGCTTTTCCACACTGGACTTTCAGTGTGGACTGCTGCTTTTGTTCTCTTTCTGTTCATAGTGCTTTAGATCTTTAGGTCTACTTTTACTGTT